CTGCGGCAGTGCTTGGAGTTCTCAGGAAGCGCTTGGAGCATCCTTCAACGGAGGTACCCAGTCAGGGTGCCCATCGATCCGTTACACACATACACTGCACACACTACATGCACGACACTGCATTTACTACACACACTACATGCACTTAACACAGGCACTGCATCCACTACACACACTATGCATTCACAACACAAAACACAAACACAGACACTGAACATGCTACACTGCATCAACTACACAGGCACTGCGCACACTACACTGTATCACCTACACAGACACAGGCACTTCACCCACTACACAACATTCACTACAAAGACACTGCACCCACTACGCTGCATCAACACATACACTGCATCCACTACACACACACTCTGTATCCACTATACACATGCACTCAAAGCACTTACTATCCACATTGCATACATTACACACACTGCATCTCCTGGATGTGCACATGGTTGAAGGAGGGGTAGGGGGGCAGCATTTTATCCTTCGCCCTAGGCAGCACAATGTCTTGGGTCGGCCCTGTCCCTATCCCACGCATGCTTAAACTTCTTCACTGTGTTAATCTCTACCACTTCAGCTGGAAGGCTATTCCCTGCATCCATTACTCTCTCTGTAAGTAATACTTCCTGATATTATTTTATTTTAGAGTGTTCCTTTATAATAAAAGGATTTTGTGGGGTAGGACTGACAGCACTATAACACATTCAGTTAGATGAAGTTGTTATAGTGCCTACAGTGCTTGTTTAAAAGGCTTGGCAGTGTACCCCTCTGGGTATGAGAGCCGGGACTGTTACCTCCTTGCTCTCGTACCCTAACATACGGGGCAGGTCACCATGATCTTCCATAAAGAATCAATGTATTCAGTTATTCAGTTATTACCAACCGTACAGATTATACCCAGTGCCAGTATCGATATGCACCAACCGTACAGCTTATATCCAGTGCCAGTATTGATAAGTGCCAACCGTAAAGATTATACCTAGTGCCAGTATCGATAAGTACCAACCGTACAGATAATACCTAGTGCCAGTATTGATACGTACAAATTGTACAGATTATAACCAGTGCCGGTATCGATAAGTACCAACCGTACATCTTATATCCAGTGCCAGTATTGATACGTACCAACTGTACAGATTATAACCAGTGCCGGTATCAATAAGTACCAACCGTACAGCTTATATTCAGTGCCAGTATTGATAAGTACCAACCGTACAGATTATACCTAGTGCCAGTATCGATACGTACCAACTGTACAGATTATATCCAGTGCCAGTATCGATATGTACCAACCGTACAGATTATATCGAGTGCCAGTATCAATAAGTACCAACCATACAGATCATATCCAGTGCCAATATCGATACGTACCAACCGTACACATTATATCCAGTGCCAGTATCGATATGTACCAACCGTACACATTATATCCAGTGCCAGTATCGATAAGTACCAACCATACAGATCATATCCAGTGCCAATATCGATAAGTACCAACCGTACAGATTATACCTAGTGCCAGTATCGATACGTACAAACTGTACAGATTATAACCAGTGCCGGTATCGATAAGTACCAACCGTACAGATTATATTGAGTGCCAGTATCGATATGTACCAACCATACAGATTATACCCAGTGCCAATATCGATACGTACCAACCGTACACATTATATCCAGTGCCAGTATCGATATGTACCAACCGTACAGATTATATCGAGTGCCAGTATCGATAAGTACCAACCGTACAGATTATATCCAGTGCCAGTATCGATATGTACCAACCGTACAGATTATATCTAGTGCCAGTATCGATATGTACCAACCGTACAGATTATATCTAGTGCCAGTATCGATATGTACCAACCGTACAGATTATATCTAGTGCCAGTATCGATATGCTACAGAAATGTATTAATGGAAGCGCCAATACATACCTGTCTGAATTTCAAAATAATCCAAATATGTGAATCAGCGCCAATTTAGTCAGTGTGGAGGGGTGTCACAGTGTGCCAGTCTGGGATTGCTTAGTGTTACTGTGTCAGTGGAAAGTCCTATAAAGTAAGTTTGTATTTTCTGTCGTTAAAGGTGCAGTAACCAGGGAATCGAGTTACAACAGGAACAAAAGACCCCAAAGGCGACACCCATCAAAACAATGGACACCTTTCCCATCACACCTGGGCGCTTAGATACAGCAACTGACACTGCAAGGGTTAGACAGAGGGACAGTCCATATAACTGACACTGCAGGGGTTAGACAGAGAGACGGTCCATATAACTGACGATGCAAGGGTTAGACAGAGAGACGGTCCATATAACTGACACTGCAAGGGTTAGACAGACAGACAGTCCATATAACTGACACTGCAGGGGTTAGACAGAGAGACAGTCCATATAACTGACAATGCAAGGGTTAGACAGAGAGACAGTCCATATAACTGACACTGCAGGGGTTAGACAGAGAGACAGTCCATATAACTGACACTGCAGGGGTTAGACAGAGAGACAGTCCATATAACTGACAATGCAAGGTTTAGACAGAGAGACAGTCCATATAACTGACACTGCAAGGGTTAGACAGAGAGACAGTCCATATAACTGACACTGCAGGGGTTAGACAGAGAGACAGTCCATATAACTGACAATGCAAGGGTTAGACAGACAGACAGTCCATATAACTGACACTGCAAGGGTTAGACAGAGAGACAGTCCATATAACTGACACTGCAGGGGTTAGACAGAGAGACGGTCCATATAACTGACACTGCCAGGGTTAGACAGACAGACAGTCCATATAACTGACACTGCAAGGGTTAGACAGAGAGACATTGACACTGCAAAGGTTAGACAGAGAGACGGTCCATATAACTGACACTGCAAGGGTTAGACAGAGAGACAGTCCATATAACTGACACTGCAAGGGTTAGACAGAGAGACGGTCCTTATAACTGACACTGCAAGGGTTAGACAGAGAGACAGTCCATATAACTGACACTGCAAGGGTTAGACAGAGAGACAGTCCCTATAACTGACACTGCAAGGGTTAGACAGAGAGACAGTCCCTATAACTGACACTGCAAGGGTTAGACAGAGAGACAGTCCATATAACTGACACTGCAAGGGTTAGACAGAGAGACAGTCCATATAACTGACACTGCAAGGGTTAGACAGAGAGACAGTCCCTATAACTGACACTGCAAGGGTTAGACAGAGAGACAGCCCCTATAACTGACACTGCAAGGGTTAGACAGAGAGACTGAGTCCAGTCCCTATAACTGACACTGCAAGGGTTAGACAGAGAGACAGTCCATATAACTGACACTGCAGGGTTAGACAGACAGACAGTCCCTATAACTGACACTGCAAGGGTTAGACAGAGAGACAGTCCATATAACTGACACTGCAATGGTTAGACAGAGAGACACTGACACTGCAAGGGTTAGACAGAGAGACAGTCCCTATAACTGACACTGCAAGGGTTAGACAGAGAGACTGACACTGTCCATATAACTGACACTGCAAGGGTTAGACAGAGAGACAGACACTGCAAGGTTAGACAGAGAGACGGTCCATATAACTGACACTGCAAGGGTTAGACAGAGAGACAGTCCATATAACTGACACTGCAAGGGTTAGACAGAGAGACAGTCCTTATAACTGACACTGCAAGGGTTAGACAGAGAGACAGTCCATATAACTGACACTGCAAGGGTTAGACAGAGAGACAGTCCCTATAACTGACACTGCAAGGGTTAGACAGAGAGACAGTCCCTATAACTGACACTGCAAGGGTTAGACAGAGAGACAGTCCCTATAACTGACACTGCAAGGATTAGACAGAGAGACAGTCCCTATAACTGACACTGCAAGGGTTAGACAGACAGACAGTCCCTATAACTGACACTGCAAGGGTTAGACAGAGAGACAGTCCATATAACTGACACTGCAAGGGTTAGACAGAGAGACGGTCCATATAACTGACACTGCAATGGTTAGACAGAGAGACACTGACACTGCAAGGGTTAGACAGAGAGACAGTCCCTATAACTGACACTGCAAGGGTTAGACAGAGAGACGGTCCATATAACTGACACTGCAAGGGTTAGACAGAGAGACAGTCCATATAACTGACACTGCAAGGGTTAGACAGACAGACGGTCCATATAACTGACACTGCAAGGGTTCGACAGAGAGACAGTCCATATAACTGACACTGCAAGGGTTAGACACACAGAGAGAGACTGCTCCTAGTCTGTATCACAGAGACAGTCCCTATCAGTCACTAAAATAGACTGCTCCTAGTCTATATCACAGAGACAGTCTCTAACAGTCACTGAGAGAGACTGCTAGTAGTCTATATCACAGAGATAGCCCAATACAGCCACACAAAGAGACTTCTCCTAGTCTATATCACAGAGACAGCCCAATACAGTCATGCAAAGAGACTGCTCCTAGTCTATATCACAGAAAGCCCAATACAGCCACACAAAGAGACTGCTCCTAATCTATATCACAGAGACTAGAAAAGAGACTGCTCCTAGTCTATATCACAGAGACAGCCCAATACAGCCATGCAGAGAGACTGTCCCTAACACAGTCAAATCTTCATTCAATCTAAATTCTTTTAAGAGATCTGTAGCAATATACCTTAATAAAGAATGCTTGAATATATTGTTACCTATAGTATGTTAAATTTATATGTATGTGTGTATATGTATAGTGTTTGTATATTGTATTTTTGTAATATTGTAACAATGTGATGTTTTGTGGACCCAGGACATACTTGAAAACGACAGAAA